GCTCCCATCCTGACTTCTCTTATCCCAAGTGGTATCTTCAAGTTGTCTTCTTTACGTTTTAAATTATTTTCTAATCTTTTGCATATTTCTCCTCAGGTAAGCCAAAGAACCACACTCTTTGGAACCAATGACTTCAAGCGATAGAGGAAGCTAATTGAACGCAACCTTGACATTATCTGGCCAGCCCGTCTTGCACAGGTTTTGGAAACTATCAGTATATCCCAAAAGGTGTTTTTAAATAACTCTCTAATGTAGCAATAACAATGTGAAAATATTTTAAAGGAGTTACTGGTGCATGACTAGAAATACAATCACTTAATGTCACCTTCCTTGTGCTTCTGTTGGCTGGGTGTGGTTTCTCTGTCATTTTATCAGTGACTCTCTCTTCTCTATGCCACTCCTCAGTCTTGAAATAGAATAATATTGGTCTTCTGCCCACTCCTGCCCCAGATTTCCCATCCTAGTTTTTTTTTAATAGTTGCAGTTCTGCAGAGTTTCCTTCTGAAGTCTGCAGATGCACAAACTTTCGAGGAGAGTTCTCTAGGGAGAACTGTACAAATGAGTATTGATTAGGGCCTATTGGGTCCTATTTGGAATCACACAATGGCAAGGAATAAAAAAACCAGGAGTTAGGAATCCAAATAAAAGTTTTTCCTTTTTTTAACCATAGTTCACATTTATTCAGGATTTTACTTTGTACATTTAAATCAGTTTTTCCTATACCTTTTATAATTAGCTTTTGGTTTAAGTAGGTACTTGAAAACACTCATTAACGCACCCCTCATTCAGGGTAATTGGCAACATTCTCAACTGGAGAAATGTATAAAATATAAACCCTTCAATTAAAGAGCTTTTTTTTCCCTTGGAGATCTCTTACTTAAAAAGTAAACCACCCTCTCTTAACCTTTATGTACATTGATTGCAACAATATTTTGTTAAAGATAAAGTAAGGCAAATTGTCATATATACTATATAAAAATATAAAAAGAATAATCATCCTCGGAAGAACTATAGCCAAACTATAGAAATTATTTTGTCAGAAATGATTAATTATGAAATGTCAAATTATGGATCTCAAGCAAAATTATTGACCTTTTTTGGAATGCCTAAACATATAAAAAATGAAATGGTTTACTTTGATTTTCCTGAACTGCAGTTCGATTGTATTTAAAAGTTGATTTTTGATTTCCATTGTTGATTTCCCTTGGCATACTGAGTTAATGCCAATTTTCCTTAACTTATGGTATATTTCAAAGTCTGCCACTTAGTTATCTGTGTTACTGCTCTTCTGCAGTCCTCTGTATGCATCAAAGTCTGATAATATCATATTCTTCCTAACGTATTTCTACCATTTAAACTATATGCCTTCTGAATAAGAAAAATTTTTACCTGGATAACAGTGCATGTAATATTTACCCTGACTCCATATCAGATAGGATTTCACATGAAATATGGAAAGAAAAATATTGATAATCATGGTTAATGGACTTTGAAGACATTTTAATATTGGCTCAGCTCTGTAAGTCCTTTGCTATAGGAATTGTCTAGTTGGATCCGTTATCAGTTTATAGAAAACTGGATTGTGAATTCATTTCCTAACTTTGCAAGTCAGGGGCACTCACGAAGATATGAAAAAGTCTGGCTCTTTGAGTATAAGGCTCATCCAAATCTTTTTTCAAATGTTAAAAAAATAAAATAATAGTACTTATCATTATTAATTATATATTTAATGATTGCAAATCTGGTGTTTGAGTGCCCATGTGTTAATATTTCTCTTGTTATCTGATTCAGTGTAAGCAGAGAGGGAGTCTCACGGGATTGATTCACTCCATCTTTGCCATTTATTTTGACCCCAACACATGGAATGCAATGAAGAGAGCTCAGATAAAAATGTCAAAAGAGGTGTTTTATAAATAGCATTGTATTTAAAGCACAGGCAGACAAACTGAGATGGTGTTTCAGAAGAACAGTCCCTCCACAACTAAAGAGCTTCCAAGATTAACCACAAAGGAAGTATTAGGGAGATCTTGGACATTGATTTCTTTCAGAATTTATCTGTTTTTAAATCCCACATGCTGCCAGTTTCCTTTGTTTTCTCTTTCACAGACTTTGTTAATAATTGACAAATTATTAGCAAATTATTTAGAAGAAGGGCATCAATTCTTTTCAGGGAGGTAGAATTTGATTTTAACAGGGAAGAATACAGCAGGGAAGACTTTGATTTAAAAAGTATAAGAGCAGTTACGTCATTCTATCTTCTCCTCTTTCAGCTTCCCTCATCTCTTATCTCCTCCCCGCCCTCCTCTCTTCTCTCCTGTGACTTTTCTTACTTCGTTGGTTAACTACTATATGAAAGGCACTGCATTAAATATATGACTATACTTGCTATTCAATTTTCAGCCAATTACCTTCTGGTGTTCTTCTCTATTTGGAACTGAGAATAATAACTCTTTATTATGACCTTTCTAGAAAAGAGAAAGGTCATATAAACAGTATAAACAATTGACAATGGTTACATAAATACCAACTTCAAGCTTATCTGCTTTCTGGGTGTCATGAGTCAATGACTCTCTCATTACTGCAGTCAGTGTAAAAATAACTACTATAAAAACATTGCTCCTTGATAGCACAGTGTGACATGAATGTGAAGAAACTATTTTACACAAGACAGCATCACATATCTCATTTAAATTTGATTAAGATAAGTTACTGGGAACTAAATTATCACCATCATTAGAACAGGTGTTGTGATTCCTTGAATGACATAGCTAATGTCTTTTGAAACCCTCGAAGTACTGTGAAATATAATCAATTGGGAGAAAGCAAATTAAGTGCCGCCCCGTGGCCATCAACCTTTGGCTAACTGTTTAAAAATACCATGGTACAGGTCAAGGGAGGAACTGCTTTCTTGATGATGTCCTCAACTTGAAGGGTTATGAGTTCATCTATTAGACCACAAAGAAATCCTTTTTTAAAAATATGAAATAAACACTTTTCATGATTATGGCTTCATTCCTCTTTACACAAAATTATAAAGGAAATTCTTGGGAGATATGCTGTAGATGAATGGGAGAGGATAAAAATTACCTTTGAAACTGTAGCGGTCATTACTGAAAGGTGCCAGAGGATGTGTACAGGGATCACTTATCACAGTGATAGAAGCCAGGAAAAGGGAGTTGAGTTAATTTCAGTTTGAGGGAATAGGAACAAGTTTAGATCTATACATTTTTTATGAAGCAATTTTGTTATACTTGATTTGTATGTAAGTCATGAAAACTGAACTGAGTTTTCTCTCCTATGAAAGCTGGAGGCAAATTTAGCTTAAAGCCGAGAACAGAATGCTAGAGTGTTCTTTCAGATCTCTCTCTAGAAAGTTGTTTCCATGTATGTATTATAGAAACATCACCTTTCTTCTATCATCCTCAGTGTTTAAGTGACAAGGGTTATTTATTTATTTATTTTTTACCAGTGATGCTGAATAATTCAAGGCACTCCTGAACTTTGTGATGTCATTTCTGCCAAACATACCTAAATCCACCAAGATTTGTCATTAAGAGTTAAGAATTAAGCCATTAAACTACAAATCATCCATTCCTCAATTCCAATCACTGAGATATTAATATTATATGTGAAAACTGCCTTTTTATATTTTCAGGTAACTCTGAGAGCTTAGCTTATATAGATTTTTATTTCTAGTCTTTTGCATCAACACCATCACCACCAACAATAAGAATGACAACATTTCCGTGCAATGGATACCAGTTTTGTTTCTAAAGAGGAAAAAAAGTGGCACTCATTAGAATTAAAATTGCTAATTTTTAATTCACGTAATTTTGGTTCTTACTCTATCAGTGGCCTTGTTGGCTGCAAAGCCTCCAACCATTATCAATCAGTAATTATCCAATGAGAAAACCAAATTACATCAAAGCATATTTACAGTTTGTTATTTTGTATGTTCTAATTAAATAGGCAAGCGTAACTGAAAAGCAACTAAAAAATGTAAGTGTAAGAATCTTAGGCTTTGTTAGGATAATTTTGTCAAGAAAAGCAAGAAACGCGCATGTTGGAATTTTGTTTTTATTGGATTTCCTAGTGTCTTCAAACATTCCCAGTATTGGTTGGCTGGGCCAGACCCTCCTGAATGCACTGGTGTCATGACTATAATTTGTGGCATAATTATTAATTATGATAAAAAACACAAGAATTATGATAAATAAAACTCCAAGAATCAATATCCTAATTCTGTTTTGCTCAGAGACATATAAAATATAAAGCGGGCTTGTATCCTTCATACAATGGAAGAAGGCGGCTAGATATCTTAAAAAATGAGAGGGGAAAAATAATTTGTGATTGAAATACTACCACAGATGATCCAAAAAGTGATTTACTAAACTTTGAGATTGCACTTTAAAATGCTCAATTTCCTATATTTTGTTTCTCTCATTAATAAAACACAGCTTTGGTCAGATTGATATTTTTAGGGGAAACTGAGTATTAATTTTCTTTTTCAAAAGGTTCTTCCACATTTGCTACTTTCTGGCATTTCTTCCAATCATTTCTCTTGAGTGAAATGAAATTTTAATTAAATCTGTATAAACTCGTCCAAATATGGAATTACTCTTTCTGTTACTAACGTTGTTTTTCATTCTCTTTGCTAGCCAATTCCAAGCGGCAAAGTAGCTCAAATTTATCTTTATTTTTATTCTTGAGTTACAAAATTTGGGATTTAAAGCTCTAGCTCTTATTCATGTAAAAATTATTCTAGAAGCAGCAACAGCATGATGCTAATTGGGTGCTCAGTTTACAGAGCCTTCTTCCACTTCCTTTGACTACTTCTGAAGCATTAGATATCATAAATGTGGTCCCTGCAGTAGAGAAAAGTCACTTGCATTTCCTTTCAACAATATAGAAATATTTATTTTTGTCTTGTGGATCTTTCAATTGCGAGCACACTCTTATTGCGGTATATGGTGGCAGAAAACATCACGTGAAATACCTACCAGCCGGAATCCTGGGGGGCAGAGATCCTCCCCCTGGCACTGGATGCGGGGCCTGGATGCTATTTAAAAACCCTGCCCTCAGGAAGCTGGGGCAAAACGCCTCCACCCCAATGGCCGGGAAGGATCCTTTTAAGAGATAAAAATGGACATTAATCAAAATCTTCTTTGTGGAAAAGTTGTTGATCATTTAACTGGAGGAAAAAAAAAAACCCTATGATTAATAAAGACATCAAACCTTAAAAGAAGCAAAAAAATGAAAAGGAATAGAATGCATTTTTATTCACAAACCTTAAAAAAATCAACTTAGTTTTTGAAAAGAAAGCTACTCTTAACTAGTTACAATCTAACACGGTTTAAAAGAATGCTAAAATAAAATTTCTAAGCCCCCATTTGGCAAAGTGGATATAAATGTCATCGGGGTTATCTTTTTGCAGAACACACATCCACGAGTTCCGGAAGACAACCTCAGCAGGATGGGACATCGAAGGCCCACTGGAAGGAGCAGTGCTTTGCTTTAGGTATGTCAGCAGCAGTGCGTTTTTGAAATAGTGGCAAGGAAATCAATATATACAATTCTTAATTTGTTATACTTTTCGGGAGAAGACGTGAGAGTTTGCAAAGTTAGAACCACATGCTTTTTCATTTTCAAGAAGGCTATTATGAAGAAAAAAAAAAAAAACCCAAAAAACAAAAAGTAAATTACTTGGAAGTTTATCCCATAAGATTGTATCATGAATTGTAGAAGAAAACACTGTCAGAGCTGGAAAGGACATCAGAGATCATCCAGATCCTCATTTTACAGACTAGCAAACTGAGGCACAGGAAGGGGCAGAGGGCTGCTGCTGAGCTGGCAGACTCCTAGGACAAAAATCTTTCCACTATAGATTAAAAATAAATAATGAGTCACTTCCCATTTGGGAGATTGTTCTTCTCCGAATATGAATTAGAAACCCTGCAGTTTGGAATAATAGCATTACAATTTGGTGTCTCAATGACCTGAAAGACACTAAAGTCATTCAGAAGAAAATTTAATATCCAGGCACTATCAGTGCCTGAGCAGCACTGGTAATTGATACGGTATATCGAAGTTTAATCACAGTAACACCCTCAAAGCAAGTTACGCTGACAGTGGTAAGGAATGCATATCATTCGGGGCCTCTGAAACCCCCACCAGGCCCAGCAGTTTCCGGATAAAGAGACCTGGGATCAATCCTCGCATGCTCAGTTTTAGCAAGTCCTGAATTTTTGAAGAGACTTCATTCTGTTCCTTGACACAAATTTTGCCCCTAAAATACGTTAAAATTGAAAACCTCATTGAACTCGGACCAGGATTAAAGGGACCGGGTATACCTGCCACTCTCTATACAACTTGCTTCTATGGAAAAAGTTGTTGCTAAAGAAAAGCCAGCATTTCTTAGATCTTTAGAGATGTTTTAATGGATGAGGCCTGTTCATTGTACATTGGATTAAAGGAAGCATAGAAAGAAAATCATATACTGTAAATAAACTCATTTTGTTGTTGATTTTGTGAGGCTTTAGTAAGACGGTCCGGCAGAGTTTGAGTCCCTTAAACATTAAGAGATGTGGCTAATGTGCCAAGTAGTAGGCCAGAAAGTGTTCTGGGGTAACTTGTGATGAACAGTGACTCTAATTTCTACTACATGGGGGTATCTACCATTGAGCAAAAATGTGTCCTCATGTACACGCATCCCACATCGCCATGTTTCAACGCTATCTGAGAAAATACCCATAGCCCAGGAGCATCACTGAATACCAGGTAGAGATAATTATATATTTATTCTGCATTCTTAAAGTTACAAAAGCAATGGTGATTTTGCTTCAGAGAAAATAATTATAAGAAATACAGATTGTAATATAGGCTGTGACAAACAGAAATATTCCAATTCTAGCTGATTATGGATTTATTGAAGCCAAGTGACAGGAAGCTTGGTTCAAGAATCCTAGATTGAAAAGAAAAAGAATAACATAATCATGTACAGGAAAGAAAAAGGAATATAATTAAATTATCACAAAGGAAATTTGAAGAAAAACAAAAGCATGTAGAGCAGACTTTAAATAATGTTAATATACTTCACATTTAGAGATTTTTATCTTTGTGTTTGCTATTTTAGCCATAATCCTTGCAACTGTTAACTTAGACACGATGTCCATTATTTTAACTCCTTGAAACGAAATACAAATATTATTTTATTGCTATGATTACACTGATAACTATTATTGTGGTTGTGACAGCCTGTCATATTTAATAACAGCTTTCATTTTCCTAAACTTGCTGCATCATTCATAGTGGTTTTGTTATGTTTCTTTACTGTGGGTTAAAAGGTCTTTCATTTACTGTGGCATCTCTTCCTTAAGGAACTGTCATTTTTTTTTCTATATATGAAATAAACAACAGGAAAAGCTGGTGTACATGAATACACATTCAGTTGAAATATCACATTATGTGCTAACAACGCCTTATCATTTCTCTCCTTAGGGTCAGTCATGTCAGTAGAGATTACATAAAACACTACAGCTCTGTTTTCACAATTCAATAATGAAGCTGAATTTATTCTTTATTATAATTCTCTTATCTCTTAATCTACAATAAATTAAGTTCAGGAACCTTTTGGGATTGGAAAGGAAATAATTTTAGTCTGGTTTGCTGTAATGCTTAAATTGCTGGCTCTTGCTGTTTTTATTTTTTTAAAAATAAGTAATTGTAACAAAGAAAAAACGAGAGAGAGATGCACAAACCAGGAAACAGACTCTTAACTACAGAGAACAAACTGATGGCTATCATAAGGGAGGTGGGTGGGGGGATGGGGATTAAGAAGTGTACTTGCTGTGATGAGCACCTGGGTGTGGTATGGAGTGTCCAATCGCTATACTGTATACCTGAAACTAATATTACACTGAAGTGGAATTAAACAAGAAAACAACAAAATAAATAAGCAAGTGTAGAACTTAATTATATTGTAGCCAAAGAAAAAACAACAGCTAGTATCTGAAGCAGGATAAATGTAAATGTCCATCAGCATTTTGTTTTTAGTTGCATTCAGTATACCGGAGTATTTGTCAGAATAAACTAGGCTTTTATTTGATGAGAGTACTCCTCCCTTTCATTACAAGTTTGCAATATAAGATGTGTCACTTCACACATGCTTTTCTAAATCTCAAATAAGTGAGTTTCCAGTTTGTTAGTGACAGTGGGTTAAAGAGACACCATAATAGGATATTGGCATTATATTGTCTCTAATATAGAGTTGCCAGATGATGGGGCATCCTGTATTTTTATTTGCTAAATCTGACAACCCTACTCAAATATAATTTCAAACATTTTTGAGTATCAAACTCACAAAAGATACTATTAACTACTGGTATAAGGTAAGTTAACGTAAGTCACTGGCTGCAGGAGTTGATGATTTATCTGTCCTTCAGTAGTTCGGTGGTCATTGATGTCCCTTAGGGACTACTGCAAATTATGACTAGGGGAAGACATTATTTAGTGGGTGAGGGTCAGGATGTATGCTAAAGGCATTGTAATAACTGGTATACTCCCTACACAAAGGAGAATTTCTCTCAAAATGCTAGTAGCACCACTGAGAAACCCTGCATGAGAACAAAGCATCCTAAAAAAACACAGTTGGTTGCTGGTGACCACAATGTAAAAAAAGCAGAAGTTGACATGATCAGCCTGAATTCTGACATCTGGTTTGATCAGTTAATGGAGGATTCTGATTACCTAGATTATTTGGAAAGTAATCTGGCCTGTAGAGTTGCCAGTTTTCAAAGAGTTAAAATAAAATATATTTAGGGGTGCCTGGGTGGCTCAGTCATTAAGCGCCTGCCTTCAGCTCAGGTCATGATTCCAGGGTCCTGGGATTGAGCCCCACGTCCGGCTCTCTGCTCAGCAGGAAGCCTGCTTCTCCCTCTCCCACTCCCCCTGCTTGTGTTCTCTCTCTCACTGTCTCTCTCTCTGTCAAATAAATAAATAAAATCTTTTATATATATATTTAAAACTTAAACTCAATGAAACAAAATCATTTTCAATTTGATTTGCAGCAATTTCTTTGAAATAACTTTACCTTGGAAATTAGATATCATTAAGAATTTGTGTAAAAAGATGACTATGACTTTGAACTCTTCATGCCTTAATTTCCTCATACATAAAATGAAAATAACAACTCACCCTACCTAATGGGGCTGTATGTAAGGATTAAATAAAGGTAAATAATCATAAATATAAGACAATATTATTAGATGGTTCTATTTTTTTTTTAAGAGAGAGCGAGCAGGGGAGGGGCAGAGGGAGAGAAAGAATCTTAAGCAGGCTCCACACCCAGTGCAGACAGAGCCTGACGTGGGGCTCGACCTCACAACCCTGAAAGCATGACCTGAACTGAAATCAAGAGTCAGACACTTAACCAACTGAGCCACCCACATGCCCCAAGAGTCCTAATGCTTTAAAAAAAGAAACCTCTTTGGGCGAGAAATTGAGGTAGACTGATTAAATTTTTCTAATGCAGAACTACCTGCCTCCCCCACATACATAGACAAAAACCTAACAGAAGAAATCCCTTCATTGAAGATTACATATCAATAATTTAATTTTGCCTGAAAAGTTTAATAAAAGCAATAGCCCTATAATATGATTTTTTTGAGATGTGGTTCCTTCAAATTGTCCCCATCTGGTTTTACTTTTGCAGATACTCAATTTGATCTATGTGTAGACAAAGAATATCTAGACTCAGTTGAAGATAATTTAGAATTGTAAACTTAAAATACATGCACACATGTGAATCAAATAAATTATGAATAAAATATAGTCATAATACTCCCTGTGGAGGATGCTCAAACATTTTCATTGTTAGAGGTGTGTGATCAGAGAATTTTGGAGAATGCTTGTTTAAACAATAAAACAGTGAGAAAAATGCCAAAGTATTCATGAAGTAAAACAGTTACTTCAAAAGCTTAAACAATTAGGGCAGGGCCTTGTTTTCACCTGGCCCAAGGCAGTGATCCTAGAATTCATGCTGCTCCTTACACAGTGGTTCTCAACCTTGGATATACATTAGAAAATAGGTAGTAAAGGTCCAAGCAAATGCATTGAACACACAGAAAAT